TGATTTATTTTAATTAATTATCTTATTACAAAAATTCACACTTTATTTTTTAGTTTTTTTCTAAGCATAATATAAGTAAACACAAAAATTGTCTCAAATTTTTAATTTAGAGAAAATTTAAAAAAAAAAATTACAATTATTTTAAAACAAATATATTATATTGAATGTGCTTTCATGGTTATAAGTAAATAAAAAATAAAAAATAAAGAATAAAGGGCCTATAGAATTTATCCAAAGCTGACTATTCAAGTGCTTCCAATTGAGTTTATGAATTAAGTTTCTGAAAATTGAGTTTGCTCAATACTCAAATTTAGTTTGCTAACCACCCATAGAGACTAGGGTATCCTTCTTGCTATGCACAAGCTGGAGTGAAGGGCTGCTTTGATCTTTTTTTAATATATATATATATATATATATATGCGTATGTACACACGCTCATACCCTAGTTAGTTACAAGTAACTCTTGATTTGAAAGGCATTCTTTACTTATGCTTCAAACATTTAAAAAACTTACCTTATTTTATTGTTTTATTGAAATGGGAGTCTTTTACTTCATTTTATACTTCACATTTTCAATATAAAACACAAATAATCATTGTCATCTCCTTATCCGGCTTGCATGGATATCTCTTGAAACACCACCTTCTACGCCAAGTTGTTTGTCCGATACAATATTTGAACAAAGAAATTCTGGATTTGGATTTCAGCAAACGAATTTAACCAAGAAACAGAAGAGAAAGCAGAAAAATGTACCAATATTTTATTCTTAATTTTGATGGCTCTGTCTTTACATATATGCATTGTTTCTCAATAAGGTGTTCTTTGAGAGAACCTAGTTTGCCTCCAATATTAGCTGCAGCCCATCTTTATCCCTAAACTCTACACTTTAAGTAGCTTAATTTCGAAAACATATGGTCTTGGTCAAACTATCAGTAAGATCCAACAAGAAGGAACTGGTCTCATTAGGAATAATTTAGCTAAATTGGAGCTCAACGGTATCTCAACTAATAAGAACCTAAAACTCTTAAGTTAGAGTTCTCATGTTCAAAGCTTATAATCACCAAGGTGTGGAAAGGTATTGTGAGAAGGGGTGGGCGGTTATCAATGTTGTATAGCGCTCAATCATTTGATATATATATTAATATATATATATATATATATATAAAGACTTATAGCTGCCAAGTTGTAGTACGGTGTTAATACCAGCATCTTGATGTGCAATAGTCTTTCAAGTGAGTGGTTCATTAACTTGGTTCCTTATCTGGCCATCCTTGCTAAATCCTCTGTTCTATAATGATGTTAACATCCTTCTATTCCGGTCTCTTTTCTACGATTTGTTGCAAACTGGATTATAAAAAATGAACTGTTAATTATTTGCCCATTTGATTATTGGAAGTGCTTTCTTTATTTGCACTTTATAGACTTATCCATTGGTTCAGGAGCTTCCTAGTTTTGGCCATAAACTGTGTGAAGAAAATCCTCAAAGGAAAAAATAAACAAAAAAAAGAAATTGTTTGAAATGGTAAGGTCTCAGTCCGAGCTGTGAGGATGAGAAATGTGATAGTTAGAAGCTTTTCATGCAGAAAAGATTATAAAATTTGGAACTGATCAATGCAATGGAACATCAAAAAGTGTGTTTTTCATGCAGGAAAAATTATAAATGTGGAACTGATCAATGCAATGGAGATCCTTTCTATTTATATTGCCCTTTTGTGATAAATAAATAGAATGTTCGTAGTTATGAACCTTCTGGTGGCTACATGAACATGTAAATAAAGGCTAAATCAGCATCTGAAATCTACTTGTCTTTGTCCCCATTCGTCCTTCGTCCCATTCGTCCTTCGTCCCATCCTTAGTTAATCCATGCTTCTCAAGCAATGGAAGAATCCCTTTTTCATAACAAATTTTGATGGTTCTAATGTTCCAGCTTAACATGAATTTATCAACCTGATTCAGAAATACATAATCAATTTGTGGTCAATGAAAAGAAAAAAGAAACAAAAATGTAAAGAAATTTAAGGTTTATGGAGTTGAATTTGTTGAAAAGATTTTAAAACCAAGAAACAGACCTGACTATGAGAGAGTTCATCAAGGGCTGCTATATCTTTCTTTTGTGCAAGTTCTCTTGCTTTCTTTATCAATAAAAGATGCTTGCTGTAGCTGAGACTCTACATGAATCAATAGAAAAGCATATAAAAAAGGATTAATGGAATTCAAACGAATTCAATTGGGAAAATTATTGATATGTGAAAGGAGGTAACTGTACCATATCATTTTCTTGCTTCCTGAGATTAAGAATGCATTGTTGCGCATCATCCTTCCTCTAGTTTATTTCCCTTAACGGCTTTCTTAAAACTCTTATATCTTTTTCAAGGGATTTCGTACATTCCTTTAGGCGCTTGATCTCTACATCCATTTCCCACTGTTCCTTTCTTACTCCTTCCCCTAACCCCTTCATAAGCTACAAAAATGTGATATATTGAGAAAGAAACAATCTTGCTCTGAGTTAAATGAAAGATGAAGTAGGAAGATTATTATTTTACTTGGTTTGGTTTTGTTTGTTATTATTTCACTTTGATTTTGTTTTGTTTGGCCCTTTTCAAACTCATGGGATTCCGTGTCTTTCCCTTTGCAACTACATCAGCCATGCCTTTCTGAGTTCTCTCCTCACTCCCATCTCTTCCACAACATGTTCATACTTAGCTTCTTTATACATCGTCCAACGCATAACCACTAAACTCCCACTGCCATAAAAAAGAAAAAGTCAATAACCATTAGAAAAAATAAGAAGAATGACATTTTAACTATTTCTAGTTCTTATGATTTAATCTTACCTTGTTATTAAGTTCTAGCAATGATGGACTCGAATTTGTATCACTCTGCTGGCTCTTAGTCCTCTCGACTTCTCTTAGGAGGTTTTTCTCTGCTGCTAAATTGTTATGCCTGCGCAGCAACCGGAAATCCAGGGTCTGGAAATCAAGGAAAGACAACCAATATCTTCAAAAAATTGCAAAGTAGAACAAAGTATGAGTTGTTTTGGTATATACTGTTTATTTTATCTTTACGTGAACACTATGTTCCCTTGAAGTTTTTGAACTAATGCATCCTCTTTGATATGAATCTTTAGAAAATTGCGGCTCATCCAGCTTAGATTGCAGATAATCTAATTTTTTTTGTCTTCCAACCTAGACTGCCGTGGATGCCATGCATCACGTGACATCAAACTTTGCAATTGTAAATTAAACGGTCGCCAATGTGACCGTACACAAAAGTTCATCACACAGTAACTCTGTTTTCTTTATACTCATGTAGAAACATATCTATGAAGAGAAAAATATGTACCAGATTATTACCAACTTTTCCTAATTTTTCTCTTGGATCTGAATCCTCTCTTGTTCCAATTTTTCAATCAGCTTCTCCATGGTTTCAGTCTTCAAATCATTTTCATCTGGATCTGCATTATCCCAACACTTGACAAAATAGAATCTCTTATTCTTCTTGGAGGCAGATTGACCAAAAACAATATTGGCTTTTGTGTCAGTTTCCATGGTTAATGGTTTGTGTCTGCGCTTCATGTCCAAGTATGAAACTGAGTTAAACCGCCCGTCTTATATG